ATATGTACTACTTAATTATTATTTTTGTTATTTCATTCATCTGTATTACAGCTGTCTTTGTGCTGCAGTAATAACCCATTTTCTCTTTCTTTGTGCATCAATAAAGGTTTATTGTATTTTATATAATATTTCCATTGCAGAGAAGGACGTTTTATACATTCATCAAATAAACACGTGAGGACTTTAAGTGAGCAGCAGCAGTTTAATACAAAGTCTAAATTTAGCATAAATAATAAATAATAACTCATAATGCTCTCTTTTGGGTGGAGTTGTAAAAAAAAAACTTAACCCGAAGGGAGCACGTGACATCAGCTCTGTGCTCTTGATTCGTCCAGCCCCCTGTCAATCATTCGTCAGAGGGCGTGTCCAGACGTGAGTTCGTGGCTGACGGAGAGTCCCTACTGTAACGAAAGGAGAGACAGCTGCTAACGAGGGAAAATGTCCGCGGTGCCCGATGGGAAGAAGCTCGTCCGGAGCCCCAGCGGTCTCCGTATGGTGCCTGAGAACGGAGCCTTCAACAGCCCGTTCTCCCTGGACGAGCCGCAGTGGGTCCCGGATAAAGAGGTGAGGCAACGGGGGGCGGATTTGTGTTGACAGCGAGAAGCTATCGAAGCTGCGGACATTTGCGACAAGCTAGCTAGGACGGTAAACAGAGCTTATTCCGGTTGAGATTTACAAAATAAACGCACTGTTTGTGAACTGAAACGACTTTAACAGAATTGAGTTAAAAACACATTTTAATTACAATTAATTAAACATTATGTGGTGTTTGTTTGTTTGTCTTGATTGGTGGCCTTACTTTAACGACATTACATTTAAAAATAATTATTGTATATAATGACACTTCAGACAATCTCACACTTATTGTACAATTTCCTAGGTTTAGCCATAATAATAATAATAATAATAATGATGATAATACAAGTATTTTGCGTATGTTAGTAACAGTAGAACTTTATAAACCTGATCCTAAATATTCGCTCTTCGGAGGCTGTGGATGAGTTTTGGGACTGGATTAAACTAAATGAAGTGGTGGAAAGTTAATAAATGAATTTACTGAAGTACTGTACTTAAGGGAAAGATATGAAAACTAGTGGTGGAAGAATTACTCAGGTCTTTTATTTATATAAGTAACAATACCACAGTGTAAAAATACTCAGTCATGCATTTTAAACTATACATACGAGTAAAAGTACAAAGTATTGATGCATTTATGCGTTTATCGCTTTAAAGATTGTATCTGGTGTATCTTATTTAAGTTATATACTGCTGGGGAGCTTCATTTATGATAATGCAGTTGATTATATTTTGTATAAATAACTTTAATCTACAAAATAACTTAGTTAAAAAGGACAAAATGGAAATACTCAAGTTAAGTGTAAGCACCTAAAAAATGTACTGCACTTGAGTAAATGTACTTTAAATCACTATGCGACTACTCATGCGTGTTTTGTGAGTGAAGCACTTTTATTTTTGAGGGAAAGCCTCCTAACATCCGGTTCCCTCCGTGCTAACTGTGGCTAACTTGATGCGCCGCTGGACATCGCAGGCCCCAAGACTGCTAGTAGCTGCTATGCTAGTAGCGGCTATGCTAGTAGCTTTCTGTGTGTTTGTGTCAGTAAAGCTACAGGAGGAGGCTCAGGGAGACTGTGGCTGCTCTCAGAGGCACTTTGACCAGACAGACGCTGAACTACAGCCAACACAAGTTAATAATCACTCTGCTGCTGGTTCCTCCGCTCAACCTTAAAATGTAAACAGTGAATAAAAGCAACAGGCACGATTATGACTGGTTGTAAAGTGGTAGAATAAATACTCACAGGTTTTATTGAAGTAAAAGTAGCAAAACCAAAATGGAAAAACAACACTATGCAAGTAAAAGTCCTGCTTTCAGAATTGATGAAACAATTAGTATAATAACAATTAATTAGTGAGTCTTCATAAAATTGTTCTGCCACTATTTTTTACAATGGATTTAAAGAATTTTGGAAAGAAAAATGCAAACTATTAACTGGTTTCAACTTCTTAAATGTGAATATTTGTTGTTTTAGTAAATTGAAAGTCTTGAAGGTTTTGGATCATTTTAAGACATCAATAATCTTACAGCAACAATACCAACATGTCAGTAAGAGACTTTTGTTTTGATGACGACTTAATGGTAGAAAGATATAAGAGGATATATTGAAAGTATCTTTTCTGAGCTGCTGTTGAACTTGAATTCGCCCTGACTCGGCATGTTGTGTAACTTCCTGTTTGTCCTCTTTCCCGTCTTCCAGTGCCCGAGGTGTATGCAGTGTGACACCAAGTTCGACTTCATCAGAAGAAAGGTCTGTTTCCTTTTTGGCAACACGACACCGTGACGACAAATCACAGCTTTATCTGACTAAGAAAACAGAAACAGACGAGGGACACAAGTTTACCTGAAGAGTTTGAGGCTTTGATTTAGTCTGTGGAACACGAGGTGATTTATTTCCTCTCTTGGCGTCTGTTCATTTGTTTTGGCCTGAAGTCACCTCGAACATAATAACACTGGTCATCTGTTCCCTCTGACTGTCTTTAAACGTACTGTTTAAATCAGCACAGGAAATAGTTTTCTGGAATCTTTTAAAACTCACCATGCGCCTTTATTACTGTGTGTATTTTAAACTAAACTTAAAATAATGCGTCTAAATGACAGATTAGTGCATTTAAATTAGTTTTGTAAGTCTTTTAGAAAGTCTGTATGAACAGGATATATTATCGTTTTCTGTGTTATTAAGTCTTTTATTATACATGTGAATACACTACAAACTTTATGCTTAATACGAGTCTGACTGAAACTTAAATGCTCTCCTGAGGACGGAGGTCTTCATGCAGAAATAAGCACTAATGTTGACGTTTGTTAAAGAAATTAATAACCTTTTTATTAATAAGTGATGAGGCAGCACAAGTGCTTCTTTTAACAAACCACCTTCACACACAGATGTATTCCTTGAGTAATATGCAGTGTGTTGTGTTTAACGTGACAACATTATATTATTATTATTACATTAAATGTGACTGTAACTCGTGTTTCCTGCAGCATCACTGCCGGCGGTGCGGCCGGTGTTTCTGTGATAAGTGCTGCAGTAAGAAGGTGGCGCTGCCTCGCATGTGTTTCGTGGATCCGGTGCGTCAGTGTGCCGAGTGCAGCCTGGCCTCCCAGAAAGAGACCGAGTTCTACGACAAGCAGATCAAAGTGCTCCTGGGAGGTGAGGAGCTCCACAGTCTCAGTTTGTAGTATTAGTAGTAATAGCATTTGTAGTAGTAGTAATAGTATTAGTAGTAATAGCATTTGTAGTAGTAGTAATAGTATTAGTAGTAATAGCATTTGTAGTAGTAGTAATAGTAGTAGTAGCAGTTGTAGTAGTAGAAGTGGTAGTTGTAATATAAGTATTAGTAGCATCAGAAGAAGAAGAAGTAGTAGTATTAGTAGTCAGAGTAAATAGCTGTAGTAGTGTTCGTAGTAGTTGAAATAACAGTAGTATTAGTAGAAGAAGTAGTAATAGTAGTATTTGAAGTAGCAGTAGTAGTAGTTGTAGTCATACTAATAGCTGTAGTAGTATTAGTAGTAGTATATTAGTAGTATGAATAGCAGTAGTAGTAATAACTTAATATGCGATATATTTTTGTGTTCCGTCTCGTCATCTCAGCAAAGCTAAAAGCTGGAGATGTTTTTTGTTAAGCTTGAAAAGTGACTGAAACAATGAAACCGTAATCATAATATTTTCTGATTAATTATTAAATCGCCTAATTGATTAATCCGCTAATCATTTCAGTAATGTAATGTAATGTGCAGACTCTTTGACAGTAACTTTACAGCGAGCACTCTGAGTCAGAATGTAAAATGTCTTGTTTTTACAGCCGACCTGCTGGATTCTATCTGAATATATAACTTTATGACTTTATGACCTGACACACGTCACGTGACACACACTGTTCCCTGTCACTCTGCACAGGAAGCAGAAATACAATAAAAATCATCTGTTAAATGATGTGGCAGAGCCCCGATAATCCGCTGTGTCGTCGTTGAGTGCGGGTCAGCGTGCAGCTATAAATACGCAGCAGCAGGAAGCTCTTCATAATAAATCCATCAGCAGCCCGAAGCTGCAGGACGACGAGCGGCTGAACGAGATTTAAAGCCTGCAGCACGATGACGGCCTCCTGCTTTATCGATGAGGGAGTTATCGATAGATCAGCGAGAAACTGGAACCAAAGAATATTTTACTTTTTTATTTTCTTGACAAATGATTAAAATAGTTTATCAATAAAATAGTTTTTCTTTCAGAGCAGACACTCGGATATGGATTAGAGACCCGGTGCTAAATAGAGCTTTGACATCTAGCCAGATTTATATTGAAGCGTTTCTATTGGCGGTTAAATTTGGGGGTCTGGTTTCCTTTTGTGGGAAATATTTTGAATGTTTTTAGGTTGAAGATTTGACTGCGTCATTATTGCCAAAATACTCACGATTTTATATTAATACTCAACATTTTGCCTTTAATGAATATTGCGCATCCTGCGATTTGGAATATTGTGATTTCTATAAAGCTAAGATTCATTGTGCAGCCGTACTCCAGATGTGAACACAGTTGAATGTTCCCGTCTCCTCTCTTCACCCACATGTGGACTCGTGTTCTTGTGTTTCCAGGAGGAACCTTCGTCGTCACTTTGGGAGCGTCGGAGAAGTCTGAAACCATGACGTGTCGCCTCTCCAACAACCACAGGTGAGCTTTAAAAACACAAACCGAGGCTCTGTTGCTCCTGATGGACAGTAATCCTGCACACTGAGAATCACACAGAAAGTTTTCCAGTGCCACTTTGTAAGTGTCTGAGAAATAAAAAGGCTCTGAGCCTCCTGATTCTATTCATGGAGCAGGCAGCATTTATATCTTTAGTTCTTAAAGTCACTGTGGATCGAGAAATACTCATAACTTTTTACTTTTTACACCAAAAGATTCAGAGCGTTGTTGTTCGTCAACCTGCTTTGATTTGTCCTTTATTCATCATTATTCATTTATTTATCTTCTTTCTTATTTTTAATAATCCACACGTCAGGTATCTGTTCCTGGACGGTGAAAGTCACTTCGAGGTGGAGTTGTCTCGGATCTCCAGCATGCAGATTTTGACAGACGGGTCGAGTCCGGGAGGTGAGAAACATCAGAATTTAATTCATGTTTGCGACTCTTTTGATAAACTAACAAAAATAAAGCATTGTGGATCTTTTTCTATTGTTTAAATTACTGGAAGTTGTCGTGTCTCCATGTTTGGTTTCCTTGAGATGAATCCACTAACCAGCTGAGAGATTTCCTGATCAACATTTTACACTAACAAACTCTTTGTCCTCTGCTGTCTCTGGTGGTTCTTCCTCTTCCTCGTCTTCCTCTGGGCTCAGAGAATGACATTCACACTTACACCAGTCTGCTGGACACTCAGTATATCTCTGAAGGTTAGCTTTGGTTCACTCCGGTGTTTGCTCGCTCATCATCATCATCATCATCATCATCATCATCATCATCATCATCGTCGTCACTTCCTTTTCCTCTTTGTTTCCAGATGTGGTTTCTTCATCTTGTGTGCATGCCTGAAATTTAAACCGAAGAGATGTTTTTACGCCTCATTGAGTCCCAAAAGCATCTCAGTGGAAAATAAAACAACACAAATGTCAATAACTTTTTCCCGTAGTGCATGTTTTGTCCAGTAACTCTTCCTCTCTGTGTTTTCTCACAACATGGTGGCAAATTATCTGATGTTTTTTAGTCCCATCTACACTTTCTAATTTACTCTCATCGTTCTTTTTGTGCGGCATTTTATTTTGAAAAACGTCATGTGTGTTTTTCTCATTGTTCATTTCATTTTTATTTACCCGACGTCTCGTTGTTGCGTCTGTGTGGTTTTTTTAATAATCATTTCTAAGGCAATGCAAGTTTACTTATACAACACATTTCAGCAACAAGCGCTTTACATAAAACATAAACACATATTCATTTAAATACAATTAAAAACTGTCATTTAAGAGCCAAGACAACATAAAATAAAAACAAGCTCAAGTAGAACAAGACATGTTTTAAGGTCGAGGTTTGTTATTAATATTGTCGAGGGAACAATAAAGTTTTGATTCTTTTTGTTCATTAGACATGAAACTGTAACACACTCTTCTCTTTTTCTTTAGTTTATTATTCATTAAATAACTTAAATAATGTTTTGAGCCAGAAGAGAGACATGTTGTTGTCAAACCTTTGTTTGTGGAGAAATAACTTTCTTCAAAAGTTCATCCAGTCTGAGCTGAAGACTTAAATCTTCTTCTTTGCTGCCTGAAAGACAAAAGACACAAAATAAATAAAACAAAAAGGCTTATTTAGTTAAATACATCAGTCTTTCTTTTGTGTGTGTGTCCATGTCTAACTGAAGGCGTGTGTGTGTGTGTGTGTGTGTGTGTGTGTGTGTGTGTGTGTGCTGTGTGCTGTGTGTGCTGTATGCAGGAGGGACGTCGCGCGCTAACGGCATGCTGCTCCACTTCAAGCCAATGGGCTCCCAGGACGCCCAGCAGCTCCGCATGGAGGCCGCAGACGACAAGAAGGCGGCCTCGTTCTGGTTGGCTGCGATGCACAAGGTACGCGGACAGGAACACACGAGCTCACGGTGATAGCCCCTCATACTGAAGAGCTTTCATCAGTGGGTCAGAGACTCGCTCACCATCCTGTTACCTGTGGATACTTTAGAGACTAACCTGTTCAGTCAGGCGTTTGGGTGAACTGTATGCACCAGTTCTGTCGAATGTATTTTGTTGTGTATTGTATATTTAGCTTTGGACTTCATCTTCTATGATTTCCTCCTTGTATGTTGAATAATGATCTTAAGCACTTTGTGACTTATGTCTGTGAAAAAAAACTATAGAAATACATTTTACTTACAAAACAAGACATTTTGAAGAAGGTGGGGCAGATTGATGTGGATTCTATATATTAAATACTACATGAATAATGGACTGCAGTCCTGCTGGAGGTTAAGACACTACTAGCTGTTAACTTGTCCATAGTTTTGGTCCAACATCCAAATCTGGGTGAAGCTGTGATGTCAAACATGACCCCAAACACACCTCCTTTCATGCATTACTTTTTTATTATTATTTTATTTATTTATTATTATTTTCATCCAAACATGAATCTGTCTGATGCATAGCGAGCTGACGTTGATGTCTAACTGTACAGATTGTGTTTGACTGCAGCTGTTGATGTAATGTACTCTCACATGTCTCCTCACAGGCGGCTAAACTGCTGTATGAAGCTCGGGACCAGTGACGTGCAGGCGGTCCACAAGACTTCCCTCTGGGCAGCAAACACCCGGTCCCACCGGGGGTTTGGCATCGTTTGGGTTTTTATTAACGCCAGTTCTGATTCTGCTTATCCGTCTGATTCCTCATCAGTTCCTTGATACCAGTTCTTATCATGGTGATATATATACAGAAGGAAACACTTTATTACCTCTATAACCAGTACTTTGTACATCTTGTTTTCCACAAATAGGCTGATACTTATTATTTTCTCGTCATATTTGACAGAGTCAGAGTTCTTTATTCCCTTTTGATTTAACACATAAATCAGGACATGCAGCATTAATGTTTCTACATAAATATGGAACAAACTTTTGTTCGCCACATGATCCTGTGATACTGTTGAATGTTTCACAGGATAACAAATGTTAAATGTGTCGTTACACCTTTTCATAACTTCACAGAGATGCAGTAAAACTTCAGATAGAGTCACAGTTGTTTTAATCGTTTTATATGCTGCAGTTCTTTTGTGTCATCTGGGATTTTATTTCCTAGAAGAGGTGATGAGACACTTAACGGATCCCTGTCGGGATATTTATTTTTATTTTACCGACTCTCCACAGAGGTCAGCTAAGCACCAAGTAGAGGCTGATGGATACCTGACGGTTGAGCCAGTTTGAACGCAGATCTTCCAGATGAAGAATTGTCTCACGCAGGTTAAAGAACAAAGAGTTTACCAGGAAACAGACCAGAAAAGGGTGAGTTCTGAGCAGGAGTGAAAAGCATTCTGGGAAATGTAGGATTCTCTAACTGAAGCAGAAGCCAGAAGAGGCAGGGTGAGGAAGATTTCATGAGAGAATACGTCCTGAAATGCAAAGAACATCACAGATTTATCCACAAAATAGTAGGATTTGTCCGTTAAGAGACAGCAGAAAGTTCAGGTGACACGTTTCTGTAAACTGTTTTATTATGAACTCTCCTCTCTGCTACAACTACTCACAGATTTAAATCTTTGGGCCTCAGCATCTGCGGAAACGACTATTCACTGATTCGAGTGAAGCTTAAACACATAAATAAATGCTTTAAATGTAGTTTCATGTATTGAAGTTTTGTATGAGCTATTTTGTCAACTATTCCTACTTTTAACACGAGGTACGACGTACTCGCATCGTTTTTACCGCTGACGCATAGTTTTTGTAACATTTGTAAACAGTAATCCCTTTTGTCCCAAACAGAGTTTTTTCCTCTTTTTATTTTTTTGTTATTATCGTCGTAACAGCCAGGATGTGAATTCATCACCTTCCATCATGTTGAGTTGGGGGGTTTGTCAGTTTGGGAGCTAAGTTGTGCTTCAGAGAAACTTCAGTTCTGACTGAGACGGTGAAAATGTTGAGAGAAAAAACCCCGATAGACATTTGACTCATTCATCGACACATCGCTTTATTTCACCCCCTCAAAAAAATCTTTTGAAGTTTTGACATTTAATGTAGTAACAGTCTGTAATTACCTCTCTGTCTGATAAATAGACTTTATAGCGAGGCCAAGTCAAATAAAATATTGTCTGCACATCTCGGTTAATAAGGTGGGACGCCGGACGAGGAGGGACTTCCTCTCTCTCTATAGTAGAGCTCATTAGCTCGTTCGTTTGTGGCGGAGTCCGCCATTAGCTGTTTAACGTTAAAACTTTTCTGACTGCTGCTGCTTCACGTTAAAAGCATTCAGCTGGTGAAACATGGCGTCACTCTGTAACGGTGCTACACGAGAGGCACAAACAAAGTCAGAGTTCAACTTCTCACAAAATGGAAAATGCTGAATGGACCTTTTAAGTCGACATTTAAACATTTCTTAACCCAAACTATCAACTCATGCAAGGTTGCTCTTTACGTTTTTAAACTGAAAACCTTTTTTTTTGTAAGAACAATTTAGTGAATTTTGAATCACACTCAAGATTTAGTTTTTTAACACGTTTATAATGTTGAAAATATGCTTAAGCATGAAGTGTGTTTGTATTGAGATCAATATTGTAAGAACTAAGTGTCGTAACACAAAACATCTTAACTCTGCATCCTCTTACTAGATTTTTTCGGGCCGAGGAAGACCGTGAGATGTGGATGAAAGCTCCTGAAAAAAAGCTAATAAGACTTTTTTTTTTGTTTTTTGGTCAAAAACAGTTAACACTTAAATTTTAAATGCACGGTTGCATTTCAGTTGCTAACACTATGTGATGTATTTTACTAAGATTACCAAGTATCATCTTGCTGCCGTTCGTGTGTCTTCCCTGTTTTTCTCTATAAACTTGAAGAAACAACTTAAAAGTAGTTTAATGAAGAACAGAATTGGATTTGTTGGCATTTTACCTTTTTTGTGTCATTGACAACCAATTAAACAACATTCAGCACCTCCACTTTGTAACATAAAGTTTATTTTTATACGCTGCTCACCTAAGAAATAAAATCACTAGTTGTCCTTTAGTTTGAGGCTGTGTGAGGTTTTTCTTGATGGTTATCCAGTTGAGTCATTATAGAGCTGTTTGTTATGTGATGACTGCACAGTTGGGAACACAAATGATCATATTGTCCTCTGTAACTGAAGTCTAAAGTAATCCTCTTCTTTAATTCCTCCGTTTGTCTTCTGGCTGCCTGCTGCACAGTTTATCTAGTACTAATGAGACGCATCATCGTTCAGGTTTTAACATCTAAATCCGGTGATATTGGCAGTTTTGTTAATTTAACATTTTTTAAATTTGCCCCTTTTCAATCACAATCACAAAAACACACAAGCTTAGATGGATTTCTACAGTTTAATTCAATATAATTACTTTTTTTACTTCCATTTAAAGCACATTTGCGCAGTACAGCTCAAAACATCTCAAGTCACTGTTATGCCAACATGTGTAGTTATTTATTAGTAATAGCTCATAACCTGAATGAATCTGAGACTCGTCGATATGATCATACTGTGACGTTCTCTGTGCAGCTCTCAGAATGTCCTCAGTTATGAGTGGATGAAGAGTTTTGGACTCAGCCGGTGTTTGTACCTGCACTTTAAAGCCCAACCTGATTACTGTGCTTTTAATCCCAGCGCTTCATTTATTACAACGCTTCCGCACACTTTGTTGGATTATTCTCTTGGGAATAAAAATCAAGTGTTTGTACATTTGTTGTGTTGACTGTGTCTTTTGGAAAATGTGGATTTCAACAGATAAACAGAAGAGAAACATCGACTGAGATAAAAGTCTAAGATTCCTGAGAAACCTTTGACTTTTTTCATCATACTGTAATATAACTTTTTTTGGCATCCTGTAAAATCCAGAACATGTACTTAAAGTATGAAAATAACTCAGTACTGTTATGTGCTACATAATGAGATTATTATTACTGATGCATTAGTGTGAAAGCAGCATATTAATGTTGTAGTTGTGCAGTTTTAACTTTTAACTTATAGAGGTGTTACTTTATTAAACCACAGAAACAGATGCATTTACCAAAATAAAGCTCACAAGCACACAGAAAACAAGAAACATGCCTCAACACATTTTAGAAGCTGACAACATAAAACGTTTGTGATTTGTTTTCCTCGATTATCTTAAATATTTGCTATTTCTATTTTCTGTCAAATCGATGAAGTGATCGTTTCAGCTCTGCTTGTTCATGTCGGGTAGTTTATAACAAAGTGTGTTTTATGAGCTCTTCACATGTTTTGTGTGCACAAATCTTAAGTTGTCCAGTATCAAAGTAAAAAGAACAATATATTTGTCTCAGATGTAGTGGAGTAGAAGTATAAAGCTGCATTAACAGGAAATGCTTGCGTAAAGTACAAGTACCTCAAATTTGTAGCTACTCGTTATTATTATACTGCATCTTTTACTATATCCTGTACTATATTTATAATGTTCTATATTACTATATTATGTTAAAGAATGAACTTTTCCTGAACTTCTCTGATTTGTCTGCTTGGTAGTTTGTGTATCCAACGGTTGCTGAGTGGATATCTTTTGTTTTATTATTCTCTTTTTATTGAGATGAAA